GAAACGAACATGTATATACATATAGTGTCTAGAATATATATATATATATACAAGGTCCAAATCTGGCTAGAGTCAGAGTGTACAAAATACATCCAGCAATGCTACACTAAGTAGCTAAATACAACAACAAAAACAAACGCCATCTACCAGCTGCAAACTCTCCTCAGCACACCAACCTAACCCTGCTCTGTTCCCATACATAGTATGATCATCGCAGTCCAAACCACATGGAAACAACAAAGGGTAAGCTAGTGAAAAAAAACAACATACATATATAAATATATGAATAGTAAACAGCTACATCTATCAGCACATCAATCAGCTTAACAACATCAGCTTAATATGTATATAACAACACACATCTCACATCATTCAACAATAACAACAGTAAACACACAATGCGTCGTCACACATATAAGTTAGTATTGGTCGCTTGTAAGCGGTATAGCTCGACCTAGCCCGTATACCGTGGTCGCCTTTTACACGTGTGCCTCGACCTTGCCCACACACGGGACCACCAATAACCTAGAGGAGAACAACAAGTTACCACTCCAAAGGTCAGCTTTCTAGGGAGGGTTTTCAACAAATTGGGCTCGAAGAGCACCACAGCCGCTACATCCACACAATGGGATGAGGTAAATTTTGAAAACAACTCCTCTAGTCTTAGTGATCAACAGCTCAGCCTCACGACCTACAACAGCTCCTATCAGCACGAAGCACAGCACTGCATAGCAGTAATAACAGCACCGACTTAGCGGCTATAACAGCACCGACTTAGCGACTATAACAGCACCACGTTAATGGCTATAACAGCACCACATTAGTGGCTATAACATCACCACATTAGTGGCAATAACGGCATACAGCTCAGCACAGCACATCAATATCAGTATCCAGCACAGCTAAACAACTTACAGCACAGTAATATACAGCAAATACAGCTTAACATCAATAATGCAGCATAAACATCTCACAGCACATCAAAATCATCACTCAGCTCAACAACATTCATCATTAACAGCTTAAATCAGCATAAACAACAATTCGGCATAGCTCAGCTTAACAGGAATAACAGCTCAAAAAACATACAACACAGCTCAGCTTTTCATCATACGACATTAACAACATTAATCAACATAAACAACATTATCAACAGCATGATCAACAACTTTACAACATACAACATACAACATATTCAACACATAATACGGCTTATCCATCTTGTTTACAACTCATCTATCTTGCCAAATTACCCACCCAAACAACACCAATCAACCTAAGCACCTAAAACAACTTTCAACTTAACCAAATCACTAACTGTGAAATGGCAACCTTCACATAAAACAGCGTATCAGGAGTTATACTACTCCTACCATACTCATCCTTATCTCATATGAAAGATAAGAAGATTTCCTACAACTCTCATGAAGACACAAAGTCTTAATTCCTTCATATACCTTGTTAAAAATGATAAAAACCGCAACAGCTATAAGCAATGCTGACAGCTTGACCCCTCTTCACTAAAACAGCCATATCTGGAGTTATAGAACTCCTTTTTGGGTGATTCCAGCGCCATTGGAAATATAACATCCAAGGCTACAACTTTGATGAAGACTATAAAGTCAAATTCTGAAATAACAACGCACTCCTGGCGCATTAAAATCACGCCCGGCGCAAATCTCAACCAGAGACCTACAGAAGTGTTTTGCGCCCGACGCAATTATCCTGAGCCCGGCGCAATATCAGTAACATAAACATAAGATTCACGTCTGATAGTGCGCTCGGCGTGGTTCTCCCCACGCCCGGCGTGATTCACCCAGGGGTTTCCCATTTCAAATCACGCCCGGCGCGAAGAACTGCGCCCGGCGTAATTTCAAACAGTAACCCTCACCACTTTGAAAATTTCACCCAAAACCTGCAAAAATGAACATCCCAAACACATGCAAACCCAGCAAAGGGTCACATTTTCAACCAACAGCTCAAAAATCATGCCTTTTTACACATGCAACATCAAACAAGGAAAATTCCCAAATTTTCATCAAAATCCCGGAAACCCCGAAAACCCGTTTTCATCAAAACAGCCCATCAATCATCAGAAAATCGGCCACTCCATGAGTTTATGAACTCATTTCTAACAAAATCAGCCAAAGAACTAGCTTTCCTTATCTCGGTGCGAAAATCCGAGCTTCAGGACAGCGGGGAAGAAGAGAAAGAGCTCAACAGAAAAGAGAAAGGGATTTCTGGTTATCAGCTAGCTTCACACCACCCTACACCTCACCTACAACCACCAAGTAAAGGAAATGATCCAAGCAAAGTGAGAAGAAAACACAAGTTTCAAAGAGTTGGGAAAGAAGAGTGAATCAGTCAAGTGAGTGAGAATGAAAGAGTGAAAGAGAGATGGTCGAGAGGGAGAGAAAAAGGAAATGGAAATAGGGGTCTCACAATTTGGTTCTTGGATCATTAAATCTGTAAAATGTAAATCCTTAATCTAAAACAATTAAAATCAATTTTATTTGTTTTGTTTAGATTTGATCTGATAAAAAAAATCAAATCAATTTAATTAATTTAATTTAGATTATTGGTTCTATCATATTGTTCCAACTAATTAAAATCAAATTCTCTGAACCAATCGAACTCATGCATATTTGTGATTCGAATCAATTAACATCAAATTTATTTGATTTTATTCATATTTAACCTAATAAAAAAATAAAACCAATTTAATTAATTTATTTCTTATTCTCATTTGTATCGTCTTGTTCAAACCCATGAACTCCACTTACTACATATCACATTTAACTATTTTTGTTTCAAACCACTTGTCATCATTATTAAGGAAGACATAGCTTTACCACTGATTTTTCAACGCATATGCATTTTCAACTATTTAAACTCAAGAACTTTCATAAATATAAGAAAACCTTAACGTCAAAAAATTTTGTTTATGATGAAAAATTATAAGAACTAAAATCAAATAAAATTTATTAAAAAAAATAAAAAAAATTGACAAAAGTTTAAAAATTAAAAACATATTTAATGTCAGATGAAAATACACAAAAATTTTCATTACTTTTATACTTTCTAAAAAATATTTAATAATTTCTATTAAGAAAATTATTTTTTAGACAAAACATCATTTGATAATATATTTGTGCATTTTTTTTCTTACAAAAAAATTGATCAACATAATTGAATAAATAATTGATTAAAGACTAGTTGAATATACTTTTATTAAATGATAGTTTTTTCATAAGCTTAGTTATACATTTTATTAGAAAATCTAAGGTGGCTTTTAAATGCTTTTTGCCACCCATCTTTTATATTTTTGCAAATTTTGTTACCCAACTTTTAAAATTTCTCGCATTTAATCATTAGATTAGTTGATCATTTAACACTATTAATTGCCTATTGAAGTAACAGGTTAACTATTAATGTAGCACATCGACAATTGACATAAAATGTTAATAAGACATACATATAATGATGTGACATAATATGATACATCATCGGTTAAGTGCCCCATTAATAATTAATATATCATGTTAACAATATGTCATATAAAAAATTAATTAACATCAATCAATCAATTAATGAGGTCACAAAATGGTAATTTTGAAAGTTAAGTAATAAAACGTACGATTTAAAAAATTGGATAGCAAAATTTGGGAAAATGTGAAAGATGTGTGACAATAAAGGTAATTAAAACCTTTTTTTTTAATTTAAACATTTTGTGTCAGTAAAATGAGTAGATTTTAATTTTGGTTCTAGTAATTTTTTTTATCTATTTTTCATCCCTCTAAAATTTAGAGTTATTATTTTTAGTCCTTATTATTATGTAATATTTTAAACTACTTATTTGTTTATTAAAAAGTTATATGACTATCTTAGGTATTATTCACAACTGATAGTGATATTATGTTAATGTATGACATCTCTAAAATTTTGTATATGTCCTTAAAATAAATGTCTTTTATTTACCTTAAATCATTAATAGAGACCAAAAATAAAAATTTTAGATTTTAGAGGAGTGAAAATCAAAGAATAATATTTTACATGAACTAAAACAAAAATTACTTATTTTACAAGGATAAAGAGTAAAGATTAAGGAAAATGTTTACAAATTTTATAAAAAAATTTTTTTTTATGAAAACTCGTTTATTATATAAGATTAAAAACATATTTAAGTCATCTTTATTCATTAACTTTTCTGTGAAGCTTGGTAAAATAAACCAATAGACTTATTAAACTCTCATAAGTTTAAGTACCTCTTCAAAAGAAAAAAAAAATCTTCAATAGGCCCTTAGAAATTAGAATAGGCATGTTAGAATTCAGAATATAGCTAACAGTTTTTGCACAGCAGCTAATACACATGAAAAAGTTCAATTACTAGCCAAAATCCACATTTCATAAGATGGAACAGTTCCTAGTGAAGTGATTGTGAAGCCATAAACAATTTTAGACTTTCAAAGGCTTCACTAATGGCACTAGCTTGCAAATGGAATGGAATACTAAAAACAGAGCTACACTTTGTATGAAAACTAACAATCAACTGTGTTCTGACTTCTGATGATAACCTGTCAAGAAAGTTGAGAATAACTAAACTACAACAGACGTAGCATAAATGTTGATACTATATAAATTAATATTAACTCATTGATTTTCATTTGTCTCAATAAGTTACATCTGGAGTTGTTATTCACAAAATGAAAAATAAGTATTAACAAGATCTTTGTATCTGACCAACACTAGCCTGCGGAAAAATGGAACTAAGCTAAGATGTCTTTAAGACAATATATTCTGACTTTACCAGTTGGACAAAAGCTTTTCTTATGGCCAAGGAAATCGAAGTTATAAGAAGGTTTACATATAAAAATTGAAACCAACACACACGCAAAGATGCATACAATTAACTACTCTGACACTATGATGCATGAAGCCAGAAAGAGAGTATAAAAATTTATCTATTTAAACACGTGCAATCCATATGTTAAACAATTATATGAGAAATAAATGACAAGATTTCATTCTGTAAGAGAATCAAAATATTTTAAAATATAAAGTTCTGATTATAGCATATTGATCTATCTCATCTGTGTCTCATATGTGTAAACTCACCAGACATAAAAACCTTCATTGCCTTCAACATCAGAATGGGCAATTTGTACTCTTTTGCATCCCTGCCTATCTATATACACTCTTGGTCTATTTGGATAAACTTTTTTAGAAGCACTTATAGGAGAGAGAAATAGGAAGGAAAAATAAAATAAACTTTTTCATAAGATAAAAATAACTTATGCATAAAATAATTTGTAGAAGTTCTCTTTTATTAATTTCTTAAACATCTTATTTTTAACTCATGCATAAGTTACTTTTAACTTAAGGAGAAACATATTTCAATTTTCCTTCCTATTTTTCTCTCCTAGAAGTACTTTTAGAGAAGCTTTCCAAACAGGCCCACTGTCCTTTGAGAAAAAACCATTTTATGCTATTGGCCAAATTTCATCATATCTAACCTATTACAATCTGTAGTATACACCATCTATGAGATAATTCACTAAGTGGTCATTATGAACATGTAGCCAGACAATCTTGTGGCAGCAACCCCTCTTCTTGATCCAATGTATCCTTAACAGCCTGATAAAACTCTATCCATGAAGAGAAGTTAGAATCCACAGGACCCCAAGAAAATGTTAGATTTGGACTTGCAGGGCAGGCAGTAACCAAATCCAAAACTGAAACCGGTTTGAGGGTCTGCGGAAAATTAAATGCTAAATTGTCAACTTTGTGTTCATAAATTTTTCCATTTCTGTCCAATTTATACCGTGAAGTGCCCTGAAATTCCCCTTTAGCCTCCCACGGAACCCGAGGCACGCCCCTCAAGTTCCACCTGATCAATATCACATTCTCTGAAGGCTGCATTATTCTATATACATCCAGAGCAATCTCACGAAACAGAATTTTACCATGAAACCTCAATGCCCAGAAGATCAATTTGTACTTTTCAATACCATTAAATGTGTTCAAAGGGTCTTTGAATGTTATATCATCCCTGAAATAATCAAATTCAACATTAAAAAGGCACAATTTCCCCATCTAAGAAACATCTTAAATTTAACAGAAAACCACACATATTCACATGCACACATAACACAGAAACACACATCTCGAAGATTAAAATTCAAATACTTGAATGATCAAATTCAACATTAAAAAAGGAAACCATTTTTCCCCTGTAAGAAACATCTTAAATCCAACAGAAAGCCACACACATATAACACAAAAACATACATCTCAGATGAAAAACAGATACTGAAATTATCAAATTCAACATTAAATAACCGCATTTTCCACTCTAAGAAACCTCTTAAATCTAACAGAGAACCACACTCACTCATAACATTAAAACACACATCTCAAATATGAAAATTCAAATGCTGACATGACCAAATTCAACATCAAAACCGCATTTCTCCCCTGCAAGAAACATCTTAAATCTAACAGAAAACCACACACACATATAACATGGAAACACACATCACAAAGATGAAAAAAAAAAATACTGAAACGATGAAATTCATCATTAAAAACCACATTTTCACCCCTCCAATAAACATCCTAAATCTAACAGGTTACCACACAAACACACATAATACAAAAACTACAACTCAAACTCAATGATTATAACTGAAACACCCACATGAAAAAATCACCTGTAAATGTCATAATTGAGGTCTTTGATGAAGATCAAGGGCATGTCCTCACGTAGGGTCCTCACAGCAAGGCCAAGATTGAGATAAAACTCATCCTTTTGCTGCTGATGCTCGTCTTTGGCACCAGTTGTTGGTGTGTTCCCCTGAGCAACCTGTGCAGTGGAAGTTTGGAGGCTGGAAAATGAAGTAGACGAGGTGTACAATGAAGGGCTTTGAGAAGTGGGTTTTGCTGATGAAGGCGTTTGGGAAATGGGTTTTGATTTGGTTTGGGGAAGCAGAGAAGGTTTGAGGTTGGTTAGAAGAAAAGCCATAGCCTTTAATGCTCAATGGGTATCCAAGTTTTTAGCCTTTCATTTGACAGAGAGGGAGAGAGAGAGGGAATTGTGCTGTTTTTTGTCTTTTGTATTTGTGACTTATGTGGCGCAGAAGCAAAATATTTGAGGCTGTCGTGTCTTTTGCCATTTTGAGTGGCTTTGAGTATGGCCATGAAGACACTTACAAAGGTGGGGAAATTCAATAGACTCTCTAATCTATCGTGGACAAGTTTTCTCTCAATTTTATTTATTTATTTAAAATATATAAATCTTAAATATGTTTTGAATTTCTTAAATTTAAGTTAAATTTATTTTAGTTTCTCAAATTTAAATTATAATTTGAAAAAAATAAAAATTTTATTTTAATTCTTATAACTACATTTTGTTAATAAATATGTGAAATATTATCGCACAAATTTCAGTTATTAGTATTCTTGTTAGTAAAAATATCGAATTAAACTTAGTAAATGTTATATGACTATCTCAATGTCACTATTAAACATGTTATTTATAATCTAAAAGACTGATAATATTTTTTTGATATTACAATGACTAAAATTATTAGTTTTAGTTTTAAACTTGAAGGACCAAGAATAAATTAATTTTAAATTTGAAGGATTATAAATATATTTAAGAAAATATATAATATTACTAATAAACCTTATTAAAATATTTATGAAATAAAAGATTGTCTTTTCTTTTACAACTACCCCACTTATTACCTCCTATTCTAAACCCTCAGAAACCTTGTCATTGACGCCTTCATGACTGTGGGCTGCCTCCTTCTCCCTCTACAGATTGCTTAAACTAACTATCCTTGCCTAACAACAACTAGGCAATAAGAGAAAACTTAAATTAATTATCCTTACCTAGCAAATTAAACCTCCTTCAAGTATACTTAAGCACATATCGTCTTTCAAGAATACTTAGTGTAGCCTAGAATGACATTAAGAGTACTTGTTTTGTAAAAATTTCCAAGTTAATAGAACCCTTAAAGTTTGAAAGTAACTAGACGTAACTCACTTGAGTGAACCAATATGAAAATATAAAGTGTTTTTATTCTATCCCTTATCTCTCACACTTTCAGACAAACAACCTTTATAAACTTATAATTATCCACTAGTGAAAAGTTTAAAAATTCAAGCGCACATATTCAACCTTCTTCTCCTTTTATGTGTTTATTTCAACTTCAATTAGTATCAGAGGTTTCCCTCTTGGGGTTGAGCATCTGAAAGTGTAGAAGAAAATGATCCAAATGGAAAATGAGGAACAAGCTGTCACATCGACATGTGAGATGTGGTTGAGAATGGGGATTACATACCTATGAATGACCAAAACGAAGAAATTCCCAAGGCAAGATGGAATGATGAGCAAAAATAAAGATTCATTCTGAACTCTAAAGCTCATAACTCCTTCATGTGCATATTCTCTTAATAAGAGGAGTTCACAAAGGTACACAACTTTAAGAGTGTTAATGGTAAAAGATATGAACTAGTCATAGTAGACAACTATACTAAATGGACATGGGTTTTGTTCTTAAGCCATAAGGATGAGTCTTTCAAGGTCTTCTATATTTTTTTTTTTTGGAAAGGAATTCAAAGTGAGAAAGGCATTTCCATTGTATTTATCTAAAGTGACCACGAGGGTGTATTTGAAAATGAAAGTTTTCAGAGGTTTTATATGGACAATAAAATTCTCCACAACTTTTCTACACCACAAAAGTCACATTAAAATGGTGTGGTTAAGAGAAAGAATAAATCATTACAAGAAATGGCTAGAACCATGTTAAATGAAAATTTATCCCCAATCACTTTTGAGTAAAAGCAATAAATATTGCATCTTATTTATAAAACAAGATTTATATAATACCTATTCTTAACAAGACTCTTTATGAACTTTGGAAAGGACAAAAACCCAACATATCATTTTTCCACGCATTTGGATGTCAATGTTTCATCTTGAACACTAAGGATAACTTGGGAAAGTTTGACTCTAAGTGTGATGTTGGAACATTGTTGGGGTATTCATAAATGTCCAAGGAATACTATGATAATGAATGATCAAAGCTAGAAGAATCATTTGAGGATTTGCAAATTGATGATAAGAAGAAAACATCATTGGCAATAGGCTAACGAACGATCTTGTGGACAAAATAAAACCTGAGCCATCCAAGCACAACAAGGAAATGAAGATACATCACCTAGACAATCAAATGATCAATGATCTAAAGGAAAAAGTAAGGAATAGAGGGTCTTTCAAAGAGCAATCTCACATAACCTTGGTCTCACAAGTAAAACAAAGACTGTGGACAAAGCCTTGCAAGACAAAGGAATGAGTCAAAGCCATGTAAAAGGAGCTTGACCAATTCTAGAAAAACAATGTTTGGAAACTTGTACCTCTCCCACAAGACAAGTAAATAATAGAAACTAAGTGGGTCTACAAGAACAAGCTAGACAAATTAGGTAAAGTTGTGAGAAACAAGGCTAAACTTGTAGCCAAAGGTTACTCATAACAGGACGGTATAGAGTTCACAAAAACCTTTACTCTTATTGCTAGATTAAAGGCTAAACCTTTGCTTCTATGTTAACAGTCTTTAGGTTTTGAAAACAAAAAACTATCCTCTCATGCTTTCAAACTCAATAAAGCTTTTTATAGGCTTAAGCATACAACTTCTGCTTGGTATGAAAAAACTAAGCCCATTTCTTTTGGAAAATGGTTTTGTGAAGAAAAGATAAACATTAGAAGTGGGGATTAAATATATGTATCAAAACTTACATATTTTTCATAGTGAAATAGTAACTCTAGTAAGATAAAGTGCGAAGAGCAATTAAATCAAACATTAGATAGTTTTATATTGTATCGTTTCAACCGCCTAGACTACGTTTAGTTCTTAATACAACCAAATTGAGTTCACTATCTTTAAACAAGGATACAATTATTCTTTCAACAAGCCACTTCTAGCTCAATTCTAAGTATTCTTTGACTTCCCTTTTAAAGCAACTACCTAAGTATTTTTTTAATAACAAGTCTCTCCAAGATTAACCAAATATTCTTTTATAGTCAAGTCTTTCCAAGCTCAAAAAAAAGTATTTTTTTAGACAAGCTTCTCTAGGCTCAACCTTATAAAAATGGTTATGAAGGTTATACAACTATTGTGTTCATCTCACTAAGACGTTATACAACCAGTACAAAACAATGCGTGTTTACAAGAAAGAATAAATTTACAGAGAGTATGTTTTGTACAAGTGTATCAATATGTCTATTCTCTATTTCTTTCTTTTTTTCTTTTTATATGTATTCTTTCTTGAGCTTTGAATCTTCTTATATAGTAGCTTGGATCACAAGTTTGTTTTGTCTGTCTTTATCATTTTTTGTGTGATGGTAGGTAATTGTTCGACTTGTTTAATGTGAGCATTAAATGCATAGTGCATTTCGCCAAATAATACCTTTTATTTGATCAGGGAGACTACTTATCAACTTTTCATACCAAGCAGAGCTTGTAGAAGTAATGTTAGCATAATGTAGTAGTAGTAGTGACTTTATCTGTTTTTCTTCGTGATTTTAGGGATCTTTATCGTTGATCCTAATGAAAATATGATTTTGTTCTCTTTAACAAATTTGTGAGTTCCAAGATAATATTCTAGTTCAATCTGTTAAGGAATAAAATATTGAAGAAGCTTTTGTCATTAGTCTCAATAAATAATAAGCATTTAATGTATATGAGACATATTGTATGCTTCATTTAATTTACATCATCTTATAGACGATTTGTGTCTTACACTTTGTTTGATGAGCTTTTTCAAATATTTTCGAAGACGTTTTTAAGGACATTTTCTCTTATAAATATGTTTTGTTTCTTACCATTAAAAATATAAGCTCAAGGGATCTAAGATCATCTTTTAACTTAACAATTCCCCAATTTTGATGATGATAAACATGTTTTTATATTTTTGAAATGTCCATTTTTCTTTGTCTTAGAAAATACTTTGCTTTGGTAAGATGAAAGAATTTTTGTTTTTTTTTTGAAATGTTGTCACTTTCAAAAGGTATTTTTCTTAATTTTTTTTGACATTTTTAAGCTTAAAAGAAAAACAAAACAAACAAGGCACCAACAACATTGGCTATTTAGTAAATATATAACATTCATACCTCATAATTGAAATCACTAAATTAATAGCTCTCATATAATATAAGTATCTTTGAAGTTACAAACTCAACTAATACTTTGTTTATGTTCCTGTGGAAACTAATCTCCTAGACTCTTACTGATAATTAATTTGGGGTCGTGTGTAATAGCAGTTAAGCCTTCGTAGATTGGCATACACATAGCCATATAATAATACACATCATCAAAGGTATCAAGTGCTCTCAGGTTTCTTGAATAGATAGACACATAATACACACACACATAAACACATATTACATAAGCAAACAAATTACAAACCTAGTATGTATATTTAGATAACTTTCCTTTTTAAATTCAAGCTAGAATTTCATGCCTCAATCATGATTTATCTAGTGACATATATTTAGTATGCATATTTAGAATCCAAGACATAGTTAAGAATTGCAATGACAAACATAAACATATGGATTTAACTCTCCCAATGTGAGGAAATGTGTAAAGTGAGAAAGTGTGGATATATCTATCATTAGTTTAATGGTAATTATGTTTACAAGTTACTTTAATAAAAATTAATAGTTAAAATACCCTTACTTTTTTACTTCACATCTTTTCACTTTATAGGGATCAAACTATGCATGGTTTTGTACTGATAAAGCCTTTTGGTTAGAATTTAGAAAGCTATCGAGAAAAAATATTAGGATAGTCATCCTCCAAATTCTTCAAGTCAAACATTATATCAGGGAAAAAATCCCTTATTCTTTTTAATAAGATACTAGGTGTCTATAAGTTATCCTCATATTATATATAGAATGCACTTTAGTGATAGGCCCTTATTCCTAACAAATTCATGAGCTTTTTTGTTATTAATATCAAATTACATAAAATAACAAATAGTGAATCCTAACATAATATAACAAGATTTTCAGCTCCAATTTTCAGTTACATAATTCTTTGCGTAAATAATATTGAACACTATAATAGGTATCACATGTTCCTTGTCAAATATACAAAAGAAATAAATCTAAATATAAAGTAT